TGAGAGACTAGTCAAGGATCATATCACCTCTACCTTACCTGTCACCCTAGACCCACTTCAATTTGCTTACCGCCCCAATAGATCCACAGACGATGCAATTGCCATCACACTGCACACTGCCCTATCTCATCTGGACAAGAGGAATACCTACGTAAGAATGCTGTTCATTGACTATAGCTCAGCATTCAACACCATAGTACCCTCCAAGCTCATCATTAAGCTTGAGGCCCTGGGTCTGAACCCCGCCCTGTGCAACTGGGTCCTGGACTTCCTGACGGGATGCCCCCAGGTGGTGAAGGTAGGAAACAACACCTCCACTTCGCTGATCCTCAACACTGGGGCCCCACAAGGTGCGTGCTCAGCCCCCTCCTGTACTCCCTGTTCACCCATGACTGCGTGGCCAAGCACAACTCCAACTCAATCATCAAGTTTGCAGATGACACAACAGTAGTAGGCTTGATTACCAACAATGACGAGACCGCCTACAGGGAGGAGGTGAGGGCTCTGGGAGTGTGGTGCCAGGAAAATAACCTCTCACTCAACATCAACAAAACAAAGGAGATGATCGTGGACTTCAGGAAACAGCAGAGGGTGCAACCCCCTATCCACATCGACGGGACCGCAGTGGAGAAGGTGAAAAGCTTCAAGGTCCTTGGCGTACACATCACCGACAAACTGAAATGCTCCACCCACGCAGACAGTGTGGTGAAGAAGGCGCAACAGAGCCTCTTCAACCTCAGGAGGCTGAAGAAATGTGGCTTATCACCTAAAACCCTCACAAACTTTTACAGATGCACAATTGAGAGCATCCTGTCAGGCTGTATCACCGCTTGGTACAGCAACTGCACCGCCCGCAACCACAGGGCTCTCCAGAGGGTGGTGCGGTCTGCCGAACGCATTACCGGGGGAAAACTACCCGCCCTCCAAGACACATACAGCACCCAATATCACAGGAAGGCCAAAAAGATAATCAAGGACATCAACCACCCGAGCCACTGCCTGTTCACCCCGCTATCATCCAGAAGGCGAGGTCAGTACAGGTGCATCAAAGCTGGGACCGAGAGAATGAAAAACAGCTTCTATCTCAAAGCCATAAGACTGTTAAATAGCCATCACTAGCACATTAGAGGCTGTTGCTGCCTATTGAAATCACTGGCCACTTTAAGAAATGGAACACTAGTCACTTTAATAATGTTTACATATCTTACAGTACTCATCTCATATGTACAGTGGTGTGAAAAAGTGTTTGCCCCCTTCCTGATTTGTTATTTGTTTGCATGTTTGTCACATTTAAATGTTTCAGATCATCAAACAAATGTAAATATTAGTCAAAGATAACAGAAGTAAACACTAAAGTGAACTTGGGTTTTGCAGCAGGACAATGATCCAAAACACACCAGCAAGTCCACCTCTGAATGGCTGAATAAAAACTAAATGAAGACTTTGGAGTGGCCTAGTCAAAGTCCTGACCTGAATCCTATTGAGATGCTGTGGCATGACCTTAAAAAGGCAGTTCATGCTCGAAAACCCTCCAATGTGGCTGAATTACAACAATTCTGCAAAGATGAGTGGGCCAAAATTCCTCCACAGCGCTGTAAAAGACTCATTGCAAGTTATCGCAAAATCTTGATTGCAGTTGTTGCTGCTAAGGGTGGCCCAACCAGTTATTAGGTTGTAGGGGGCAATCACTTTTTCACACAGGCCATGTGGGTTTGGATTTTGTTTTCCCTTAATAATAACAACCTTCATTTCAAAACTGCATTTTGTATTTACTTGTGTTATCTTTGACTAATATTTACATTTGTTTGATCTGAAACATTTAAGTGTGACAAACATGCAAACAAATAAGAAATCAGGAAGGGGGCAAACACTTTTTCACACCACTGTATATACTGCATTCTATTCTATAATATTCTTCTGTATCTTAGTCCATGCCGCTCTGTCATTGCTTGTCCAGATATGTATATATTCTTAAATCCCTTTCCTTACTTTTTTGTGCGTATTGGGTAGATGTTGTGAAATTGTTAGATATTACTGCACCGTTGGAGCTAGAAGCACAAGCATTTCGCTACACCCGCTATAACATCTGCTAAAAACGTGGATGTGACAAATACAATTGTATTTTATTTGATCTGGCTAGTGAGGCTTGACCGGTTTATTTGTTGTGAAGCTAGCCACAATAAGGATTAGCCACAATAGTGGAATTTGCGTTACGCCTTCAAAATAAAAGTTTATGGTTTACGCAAATATTAGCGTCGTAGCTCTTATTGCGGGACTTTGACTGTGGGAAATCACCTCCCCAGTCAGCCTATTGTGCGTATTGACATTCATATTGCACTGTACAGCCTTACCTAAGGATTGGGGATCAATGAAAAATGTATGCACTCACTAACTGTAAGTCGCTCTGGATAAGAGCGTCTGCTAAATTACTAAAATGTAAATGTATCGGTCTACTCAGTACCCAAGTGCTTTTTTCCCAAAAGCCTCCTCAGAGTTATCAGACTCCAAAACATCCACGTTGTATTGTTTTTCCTCTAGAATAGTGTTCAATACACATAGTAGGTTGACTGGTACAATAAATGTGGCTCAATTCACAGTGGTTTCAGAGTCCCGCAATAAGAGCTACGACGCTAATGTTCTCTGGGTGTCACTGAGTAGACTGATACCCCATGTCATTGATCCACAATCCATAGGTAAGGCTGTACAGTGAAATAGGTATGCCCCAATGCAATTCTAAAGTCTAATAAATCCAGTGTGATTTCAACAGATTTTTGTCAAATTAACAAATTGTCTTTTGTTTAATTTAAATAACAACATTCCGACCTCGTTTAGCATGATCTATGCCATTATGGCATGATTCCACTATTTGTATTCATTTCATCACTTTTAATGAGACTTATTTTGAAGCGAACTGCAAATTCCACTATTGTGGCTAGCTTCACGTAGGTGGGTCTGACCACCATTAATCAAATAAGAACTGTCTTATACATTTGGGGTATTTTAGATGATGACACCTAGCTAGATAGCTAGCTAACTATCTACCTATCTATCTAACTATAGCTACTGAAACAGATTTTCAATTTTGCTATGTTTTTGGGGAAGAACAATGTCAGATAGCTAGCTTTTTTTATGACCAGCACTGTCCAGAGCTTGGGGAAGTGTGTCTGTGCTCTTGCAGCAGCAGCAGGTGCGCGAGACAACTTTACCAGCATCGTAGCATTCGTATCGTGAATCGTTGTGACATATGAAATATGAGTGATTGTGTAATAAGTAATCATGTCTTATGTAACCGTACCAAATGTAACATATCAAACTAATTTGAGTGTCCCGGATTTATATTTACTATGTTACGTCTAGTCTATGAGACCAGGCTGAGCTAACATCTGGCTTGCCACATACGGTGCATTCAGAAAGTATTCAGACCCCTTAACTTTTTCCACATTTTGTTACTTTACAGCCTTATTCTAAAATTGATTAAATCGTTTTTTCCCCTCATCAATCTACACACAATACCCCGTGATGACAAAGCAAAAACAGGTTTTTAGAAGTGTTAGCAAATTTATAAAAAATAAAAAAACTGATCACATTTACACAAGTATTCAGACCATTTACACAGTACTTTGTTGAAGCACCTTTTGGCAGCGATTACAGCCTCGAGTCTTCTTGGGTATGACGCTACAAGCTTGGCACACCTGTATTTGGGGAGTTTCTCCCATTCTTCTCTGCAGATTCTCTCAAGCTCTGTCAGGTTGGATGGGGAGTGTCGCTGCTAAGCTATTTTCAGGTCTCTCCAGAGGTGTTCCATCGGGTTCAACTCCAGGCTCTGGCTGGGCCACTCAAGGACATTCAGAGAATTGTCCCAAAGCCACTCCTGCATTGTCTTGGCTGTGTTCTTAAGGTAATTTCCTGTTGGAAAGTGAACCTTCGCCCCAGTCTGAGGTCCTGAGCGCTCTGGAGCTGGTTTTCATCAAGGATCTCTTAGTACTTTGCTCCGTTCATCTTTCCCTCGATCCTGACTAGTCTCCCAGTCCCTGCCGCTGAAAAACATCCCCACAGCATGATGCTGGCACCACCATGCTTCACCGTAGGGATGGTGCCAGGTTTCTTCCAGAGGTGACGCTTGGCATTCAGGCCAAAGAGTTCAATCTTGGTTTCATCAGACCAGAGAATCTTGTTTCTCATGGTCTGAGGGTCCTTTAGGTGCCTTTTGGCAAACTCCAAGCGGGCTGTCATGTGCCTTTTACTGAGGAGTGGCTTCCGTCTGGCCACTCCTACCATAGAGCCCTAATTGGTGGAGTGCTGCAGAGATGGTTGTCCTTCTGGAAGGTTCTCCACAGAGGAACTCTGGAGCTCTGTCAGAGTGACCATCGGGTTCTTGGTCACCTCCCTGACCAAGGCCCTTCTCCCCTGATTGCTCAGTTTGGCCGGGCGGCCAGCTCTAGGAAGAGTCTTGGTGGTTCCAAACTTCTTCCATTTAAGAATGATGGAGGCCACTGTGTTCTTGGGGACCTTCAATGCTGCAAACATTTTTTGGAACCCTTCCCCAGATCTGTGCCTCGACACAATCCTGTCTCGGAGCTCTACGGACAATTCCTTCGACCTCATGGCTTGATTTTTGCTTTGACATGCACTGTCAACTGTGGGACCTTATATAGACAGGTTTGTGCCTTTTCTAAATCAATTGAATTTACCACAGGTGGACTCCAATCAAGTTGTAGAAACATCTCAAGGATGATCAATGGAAACAGGATGCACCTGAGCTCAATTTCGAGTCTCATAGCAAAGAGTCTGAATACTTATGTAAATAAAGTGTAAATAATCTGTTTTTATTGTTAATTTAATCAATTTTAGAATAAGGCTGTAATATAACAATGTGGAAAAAGTCAATGGGTCTGAATACTTTCCGCTGCACTGTAGGTTCGCCAGTCGTGAATGATGCATACAGGCTAGCTATTTGTTTATCTAGGTAACTAAACTTTAATAAACGACTCGTTTCAGGCATACCACAGATGACCTAAGACATGTACACAAGGAGAAACATGTTTGACGCTTTCAAGGATCAAATATGGGAAGGTAGCTAGCCATCTGCTTTTCTCCATGAAATCATATTGAATCATATTAATCATACTAGCAATGGTAATGTCGTCATGTATACTCTCTTCTATCCTCTCAATGAAGAGTTGGGACCTCTGAACCCAAACTGGTTTGAGGAACTCACTGCTAAAGCTTCCAGTGGGGATCGGGGTGATACAGAGAAAGAGGATCCCAGCACTGCAATATCTTGTGGACAAGATGGCAGTTTCAAATCACCGTTGGAAAAATGTCCCCTGGATAGTGATATGTTCTCTACCCCGACGATCTTCAGGCAGAGAAGACCACAGTCTGCTGAGACATTGACAGAAGACATTTTTTTCCCTGATCAAGGTAGAGATAAATGTACTGTTTGCACTGTTAAAATAGACTATTGTAAATTTTATCGTTGACATGACCTACCCTAGCCCATGACCTACCCTAGCCCTTTAACATCCAAGGACCTACATGTTATGTTCAGAGGTAAAGTGGCTCTGGCAACCAAAACAGACAAATACTCCATCTAAATGTTAATTGATTCTCAATTGCGATACGGTTCTAGAAACATAAGCGTTCTACTTTCATATCACATCAAAATAATTGTACAAATGCATAAAATACACTTACTGTGTACACTGTTTTAACACAGTTGCGGCCGACAGTATTTCTCAGTTACAACACTTTTCTGGCGTCCTTCTTCCGTTGCACACAGGTGTTCAGAGATGCTAGATAGCTAATTGGAACCGGTGGGCGCCTCTCTTCCGTAAACCTTAACATGGAAATATTGCTGTGTGGGAATCGTGTTAAAAAGGTGTGTAGTAATTTTACAATTCGATTTATGAAAATAATTTCTCAATGATATGAAAGTAAAGTTCCAAAGGTTTCCAAAACCGTATCACAAGTGAGGATTATTAACGTGTAGAGACAGCGTCGGGACTGTTGAACAAATTCCTGCTCCGTCGCCAATTCTTCAACTGAGAACCCCTCTTTGTTGAACGAGTGCTAGACCTACCTCTAACTAGAAGGCCTATCTCCTTTTTCCTGATTGTCTATGTTATCCCTGATTACTTCCCTGCGGAATGTGTGCACTGATATTTCCTGTTTTGCTGCGTAGGAAGCTCTGGAACAGAAATAACAGACACAAGCCCATGCTTATTTGGAAAATCAATAGACAGGTGAGAATGTCTGTCTGTTTGTGCTGATACGTTGGTATTTCACAAATGTGCAAATCTAAAAGTACACATTGCTTTGCTGATGCCTGGATCCTGATATTCTGACCTACGGCTCACAATGTGATGTCAGAACACCTGCTCTTGTGATGGTTGATGACATCAGTGGTTCTATTTTTAGCGAGTCCCCCAGTAAATCCTGTAGAACAAGGCTGCATGGAGACAGTTTTGGTAAGCTGACTGGTGACTTTTCAGTATTGATCGATGTTGATATTTATTATATTGGTATTTATTGTTTTGATTTTAAATTTGCACATTTTATTTTCTGTCACGTTTACAGGGCTGCTTGACACACCAAAACACTCTGCGGTAGGTGCACCTGTTCTTGGGGAAATCTTTTAAAAACCAAACTAGTGTTTTAAAAGTTCCATTATACATTTTTTAAATTAAGATCATTTTATTTCAGCAGGCACACTCTTCCAAACGTATATCTGAAAGTCTTGGTGCACAGTTAGACCCTAATATGTCCTGGACCAGTTCTCTCAACACACCTGTCATGTCGCCCACCATCATTTTGAGTAAGTATGAGACTGTATGAATTTGGGTTTTTATTATAATGGTATTTTTACATTGGTTGTCTAAAATGGCATGTCCTCACTCTTTCAGCTAAAAGTGAGGAGCATAGGCCTATGTACCCAGTAAGACTTTCTACTGAAGAGCAGGTTATGGTGAGTATTCCATACAATCCTAGAAAAACTAATCGCAGGTTAAGCATAAACAGATTTTTATTATTCTAATGACGTCTAATGCTATTGCCTTGCTTGAATTTAAAAAACAGTATTAGATAAATAGTACAATATTGCTCCAATACATTGGTGGCCCCTTGATTACACTTGGATAATCTGCCCATGCTCAAGGCATTTATGTGTATCAGACTTGTAGAAAAGGATTTGTCTGCTCTCTCTCATATAGTTTGTGCGAAAGCTTTTCCCCTCGGTCTCCAAGGAGTCTGGAAGCACAGTGCTGTCACCAGAACAGAACGATAGACCTCTCTGTCAACATAATGGTGAGTATTTGTTGAACGGTAACTACAGTAGTAAATATTGTAGAAGTTACTCTGCATAATAACACTGTATAACAGATACAAGTACTGATCATTTCTCTGGAATACCAACAGGACTGGATTGCCACTTGCCTGGTGTGATTGAAATCTCCCCTGGCTCTCAAGACACGTTACCTGTTGACAGTAGCAGCCATTGTATGCAGACATTACCAGATGCTATTGAGGGCGGAGAAATCCGCAGCACAATGGCCAGTGTTCTAGATGGAGCTGAGGATGTCCTCTCCATATTCTTCAGCAACAGCAGTTTGGCTTTACGAAGGGTGAAGACCAAGGAGAGAATCAAAAGGAAGCAAAGCAACTCAACTAAGGAACACGTACCTACTTCTACAATGGAACATGACAAAGTATCCAGTGACAGAGCAGGAGAATACCAACACACCAGGGCAACCTCTGAGCCCCTTGAGTCCAGGACTGACATGAAGTCTGGGGATTTGGGGATTTCTCAGTGGACTCCAATAAATGTACCTGACATTTCAGACTATGATATGGATTCATTTCACCATGAGGGGTCTTCCTCTACTAAACACATAATTCCACAAGATGATGTAAGTGAAACGTTCTGTGACTTCACTGGAAGCCAGCAGCCGGATCGTGGTTCCTCTAAGCAGACTGTCCAGGTGGAGTCTGCCCTTTCCAGAAGAACAGTACCAGGGTCTGTAGTCGAAAGCTCTCTAGAACACACCTTCCCCAGGAAAACAAGGACATTTGTTTACTGTGTCCAAAATCCACTTCCGTCAGTGCAAGGAAAAGATAATGTTACTTGGATGTTACCTGCATCATCTGGAACTGCTCCCAGAGGTAAGATTGTAATCTGGAACTGCTCCCAGAGATTGTCATTTATTTATATTTCTCAGTTCAATGAAATGATTTTGCTTCTATTCTCTTTTATCATTTTAGGTGAAAATCCAAATGTAAAACAAACCAATGAAGATGAGTTTAATAATCTTAACAAAACTGCCTTGGATGGGAAAAAGCCGCTAGTTCAGCAGGAAAGTGCAACTGAAGAAAATATTGTTTCACGAGCACCAACCAAAGACCCTGATCTTGATATGTCACAGCTTTGCAGGGCATTTGCACAAGATTTTAGCCAAGTAGTTGACTCTAGTAAACCATGCAGCAAAAGAACAGACTCTATTAAAAATGGCTTCTCTGCATCAGCTTGTCTCTCAGCAATGAGACTAAGGAACAGAAAATTGTTAACTCAACTAGAATGGGGCCAAAAACCTGAACATCTTAACTCTGGCATCAGTGATGAAATGCATATTCCTGGTTCTCAGTTTAGCAACTCTGCAAGCACGTCTAGAATGGAGAGTGGCTTCCCCCCCTCCACCCTTTCTAATGTCACACAAACAGAATCATCCAACGTTCACCCTAGCTCTGAAAAAAGTTCTGGAAATCAATCATCTAGAGAGTTTAAAACTGGTAACAACTGGATTATCTCTTTGCCTCCAGAAGCAATAAAGAAAGCAAAAGCATCATTAGATGACTTAATTGAGGAAAATATGACTGATGTCGTTACTGCTGCCAGTGAAGTGAAACCGGTGTTGTCATGTGTAACAGGGAGCCGACTGTCCACAGAAATTAAGTTCATCAGTCCACTCAACGTTGCCAAAAGGTCAAAGCAAACCAGCGTAAAATTGAATGGTCAAGTTGTTCAGACCCCTCACAGCGTCAATGTCTCTGTTTCCTCACTCCCTGGGTCTGGTTTCAAAATGGCCTCCAATAAGAAGATAACAAATTATTCAGCAAATCTGGAGAAAGCCAAGGATTTGTTCAAGGAGATTGAGGATGAAATACCTGCAGTCAATATTCCTGAGATAAGCCTTCCTGAGGAAGGTAACATGTCATGTGGATTGGAGCTTGTTGATGGATCTCATTTACAACCTCTACCCTATACACACCAGAGGTCTGTTGAGAGCCAAGGTCTGTTGACAGACTCACAGAGAGCTGATGTTTCAGAATTGTGCAGTCTCTTGGAAGCTGCAGACAGCCAATTTGAGTTCACACAGTTTAAACCAGCAAAGCGGAACTGCTATGTTCCAGATGGGAGCCCCCCTCGTCAATCATCTGAGAAAGAGTTGGATCCTGAATTTCTCACAGGCATAGATTTCAATGACAGTTTTAACTCTGATGTTGAGAAGCAATCCGTGATGATGGCCACCCCTGACAAAAAGACAACTATTCCTCATTGCAAGAAAATTTGCCAAGTAACAACCACCAAAATTAAATCTAGTGGGGCATCACCCAGCAGTTCAACAGAGAAACCCAAAGAACATGTTCTCCACAGAAGAGTACTTAACATTCCCAGTTATAGCTCTGAAAACATAGCTGAGAGTTCCTTTGGTTTGTTGACAAAAACCACAAACAAGAACCATCTGCTTGATATGGAAACGAACATCAGTGGAATGGAGTCTGAAAGCAAAAATCTCCCCAAGTTGGATGTGGGTTTTAAAACTGCTGGAGGAAATGCTATGAGAGTTTCAGAGAAGTGTCTGAGCAAAGCAAGGGCCTTGTTTGCAGATTTGGAGGAAAATCGTGAGATGAACACACCCAAATGTGTAGTAGAAAATACGGAACAAGTTGAAACCTCACCTGTTCAATATAGAGGCGAAGTTGATACAAATGTTGATTCAAATGTGACACATTTTCATGGCCCTGAAAATAAAGTAGACCTGAAGGAACCACGTGATGAATACATTGACAAGATTAAAGTGGACTTTACACATTCTCACAAACATGGGGATGGTGGTTTCCAGACAGACGGTGGTAAAGGAGTGACCGTGTCGGCAAAGGCCCTTCAAAAAACAAATGCAGTCTTCAAAGATTGTGACGTTATGGAAAGTTCAGGTTGTGCATCAGAAAAGCCGAACAAAACAAGTGTATCAGAGACTGGCAGTAATAATTGTGAGATAAACAATTGTGGCTTCAGCACTGCTCGGGGGAAGAGAGTTGATGTTTCTGCAAAATCTCTACTGAAGGCAAGGACTCTCCTTAATGACTGTGATGAATTGGACAATTCTAAGCCAGGGAAAATCCCCAGCTTGAATGCAAAGATACCAAGTCAGAATATTCAGGAGGAAAGTGACTTTGATTTTAAGAAACCCAGTAGTGAAGCAGCCTCCATATCATCAAAGATCCCTTTGACAGCAAAAACTCAGTCTGATGGAGGTGGCAATTCACATGATGTTCTATGGGCAAAGAGCAAAATGCTTGAACCTGAACATTCTCAAACCCATGCTAAAGATCCTTTGAGAAATGGATGTGGTTTTAGCACTGCCAGTGGGAAGAGAGTGTCTGTGTCCGAAGGGGCACTGTTGAAAGCACAGGCTCTTCTGAGTGAATGTAATGTGGATGGAGAGGAACTTTCTATATCGAAGAACAAGATCCGAGTAGACCTTCATACCATTCAGAATCCACCACAGAAGCACGGTGGATTTAAGACTGCGATTGTCAAAGAAGTAACCGTTTCAACTAAGGCCCTTAAGCAAGCAAAGGCTGTTTTCAACAACTGTGATTCCAATATGGACAGCTTAATCAGTGCCGAAGCAAAGCGAGGGAATATAGACGTAAAGTCTACTGATGGTCTGATGAACAATCCAGGGAAAAGCTATTGTGCCTTCATGACAGCTGGTGGAAAGAAAGTGCATGTCTCTGAAAAAGGTATTTTGAAGGCAAAGAGCATTCTGAATGAAAACCTTGATAACTGCACAGACTCAAATGCCATTGAGGAGGCTTGGTTTTCAGATGGTAGATTTCCATTACTCACCGAAGATGGTACAGGTGTCAAAGAAGGAGCAAGGAACAAATCGAATTCTTCTGACCTCAACGGTGAAGAAGATAGCTGTGGTTTCAGCACTGCCAGTGGCAAGACTGTGCATATGTCCGATGGGGCACTCCAGAAAGCAAAGTCTAATCTGAACGAATGTGATGTAATTGAAAATCCACAACCTGAGAATAGCCACAAAGTGGATCTGGAAAATATTCTAACAAAGGAAACGCATGAAATCTCTCATGGTAGCACAGCCAGCGGGAAAGGGGTGTCTATTTCAGAAAATGCTCTTCAAGATGTGAAGTCTGTGTACGTTCTGGGTGAGACTGGTAATGTAAAAGATTCAGTTGGCAGTAATCCAATAGGAAGCCATTGTGGTTTTAGCACAGCCAGTGGTAAAGGAGTGTCTGTTTCAGAGAAGGCACTTCAAGTAGCATGTGACAAATTCAAAGCGTGTGATGATACCCTTGCCAGTGATACTGACCCTCACAAAAGATCTGAAGAAAAAAGGCCACTGAAGGTCCCTACTCCCCATATTCATGATCACCGTATGCCGGTCAAAGCAGTGGGACTGGAGGACCGCGAAGCTATCCAGACCATTGTCGGAATGGCATGTCAGTCTTCATCTGCAGCATGTCAAGCGGAGTCTTCCTTGTTCAATTTTGAATCCCTGGGGTTCAGTGGCTGCTCTGTGACCCAGAAGAGGTACTTTGCCCAGGAGGCCATGGATTGTACCAAGGCTCTTTTAGAGGACGAAGACTTGACCGATCAGAGTCCTGGAACTCCAATCCAAGCTAAGGGGGGTTTTGAGATGAGAAGTGGAATCGGGAAAAGGTTGGCAGAGGATTTAGGGATGACAGGTAAAAGAACAGAAATATGATCAGATATTGTGATTGGGAGGAGCCTAGAGGAGTAATGTTAGACATAATAACTGTTTTTTCTTGCATATGAAAGTTACAGGGTTGTGTGTTTACCAATATAAGAATATAATTCTGAAGAAATTGATTTACAACATTGTCCTTAATGTGATATTATATTCAATAGACCAACCTCCTCTGAAAAGAAGACTCTTGGCCGAATTCGACAGAACTGTGGATTGTAATAGACGTTCAACACTCACTCCAGCTAAAAGCAGTGCAGATGGTAAGACAGTTGACCTTTTCTACAAGTAACAAAATTCCCAGTACAATGAAAATGAACATTGACAAGATGGTTCATCAATGCATGTTTGATTGTTTCAGGTATATTTAAAGACAGGAGAGTCTTCCAATATAATGTGGCTCTTCAACCTAATGTCACCAGGCCGTATCGGTAGGTAATCAATTTAATACTAGAGGATATATAGTTGTTTTGACATAGTTCAAACAACATATGTATCTTGAAATTATTTATCAAATAAAATGCATTCATTCATTCACCTAGCATGAAATCTGTGTGTCATAGATTCTCATCTCCTATGTTTGTCTTTCCAGCGCTAAGCAGAGTTGTGTGAACACAAGGCTGAATAAGACCGAGCCACAGAAGACAACATCAGATCCAACCGCCGAAGACCGTAAACCAGTTGGCTCCAAGACAGCTGTATTCGTCCCCCCATTCCGGAAGAATGTCAAGCTTGAGCCACAGAAGAGCAGTGGGCCTCAGGACAAGACTAGAGCGCCTGGTGTGTTCGTTCCCCCGTTTAGAAAATACAACTGTGTAACCAGGAAGGGTTCCTTTAAGCCTTCAGAAGAGAATCATTCTCTTCTTCTCTTCAAGACCAGCACATCTGTTCCACTTCCTGAGTACAACCACATCCCCATCACTGACACTGGTAGTGATAACGCAAAGGAGTCCATTCAGGAACTGGGCCCAAAAGATATTGACAAAACAGACCCAGGCGACGATAGTGGACATAGCCTTCCTGTCACCACAGGAGGAGGGGATGCCACTGCAGAGGAGTATACCGCAGGTCAGCTAGGCCCTAACAGCATGGGCACCCTTCTAGCTGTTGTTTATGGTACAAATATCATCATTTGTATGACCTTTTAACCAATGCATCTTTGGGATATTGTAGACAATATTAAGTTTCAACATGGTGTGACAATACGTGATTTTTTAAAAATGCTAATCAATTCAATGGCTTGGGACTAAATGTGTGTACTGAATCAGAAAGCAATTAACAAGAAAGCATTTTAATCGGGACTGATGAATTGTAACCGATGTTCATTTATCAGGAGTCGACTTAATGTGAAAAAATAATGTGTGTGTGCAGATACAGAGTGCCTGCAGCTGGCCCGAGACATGCAGGACATGAGGATCAGGAAGAAGAAGCGGCAGACCATTAGACCTCTCCCTGGCAGCCTGTACCTCGCCAAGACATCTGGGGTGGCCAGGCTGACCCTCAGGGAGGCCGTTGGAGGTTGGCACCCTGTACAACACACACACAATCAGGTACTGTAACTAACACACACAAACATATACTGAAACACACAGGTACTGTAACCTACACATACAAACATATACTGAAACACACAGACAAACTGGTAGTGGAACACAGACTGACAAACAGGTCCTAGAACACACACACACAAACAGGTGTTGTTACACACACACACACAGACAGATACTGTAACACAGACAGACAAACAGGTACTGGATTGGTAGAGGTGGAACAGGGCTTTTGAAGTCTGATTTAGAATATGAACAGTGGTGGGGGGCTGGGGGCTTTCCTGTTGAACTTGTTAAGTGTGATGTTTTTTGGGGGGTAATGACTGATGTCCAATCCTCGTTGTGGATATCACTCAGCTGTATAATATAATAATATAATAATATGACGTAGCTGTATGGCTACGGAGTGCACCGGCATGTTTCGGAGATCAGCAGTGAGAGTGCCGAGGCGTTCCGCTTTGTCTGCCGACACTTCTTCAGACCCGAGGCGTTTGTAGAGGGGCGCGTTCAGCTGGCCGACGGGGGCTGGCTCATACCTCACAACGATGGAACTGCAGGGAAACAGGAGTTCCACAGGTAAGGTTTTATTGATTGTTTGGGACACAAAGCATTCATTCCAACTGATGTTATTTTTCAACTTTGCCATTTATTCCCTTGAACACATGTTGTTATTATTAATTTGGATGAATGTATGTATATCACAGGTACAGTTGAAGTTGGAAGTTTACATACGCCTTAGCCAAATACAATTCCTGACATTTAATCCTAGTAAAGATTCCCTGTCTTAGGTCAGTTAGGATCACCACTTTATTTTAAGAATGTGAAATGTCAGAATAATAGTAGAGAATGATTTCTTTCAGCTTTTATTTCTTTCATCACATTCCCAGTGGGTCAGAAGTTTACATACACTCAATTAGTATTTGGTAACATTGCCTTTAAATTGTTTAACGTGGGTCAAACGTTTCAGGTAGCCTTCCACAAGCTTCCCACAATAATTTGGGTGAATTTTGGCCCATTCCTCCTAACAGAGCTGGTGTAACTGAGTCAGGTTTGTAGGCCTCCTTGCTCGCACACTCTTTTTCAGTTCTGCCCACACATTTTATATAGGATTGAGGTCAGGGCTTTGTGATGGCCACTCCAATACCTTGAATTTGTTGTCCTTAAGCCATTTTGCCACAACTTTAGAAGTATGCTTGGGGTCATTGTCCATTTGGAAGACCCATTTGCGACCAAGCTTTAACTTCCTGACTGATGTCTTGAGATGTTGCTTCGATATATCCACATAATTTTCCTTCCTCATGATGCCATCTATTTTGTGAAGTGCACCAGTCCCTCCTGCAGCAAAGCACCCCCACAGCATGATGCTGCTACCCCCGTGCTTCACGGTTGGGATGGTGTTCTTCGGCTTACAAGCATTCCCCCTTTTTCCTCCAAACATTACGATGGTCATTGTGGCCAAACAGTTATATTTTTGTTTCATCAGACCAGAGGACATTTCTCCAAAAAGTACGATCTTTGTCCCCATGTGCAGTTGCAATCTGTAGTTTGTCTTTTTTATGGCGGTTTTGGAGCAGTGGCTTCTTCCTTGTTGAGCGGCCTTTCAGGTTTAATTAAACCGCCTCTTCTCCAGAGCGTTGTGTGACAGCCCTGGTGTTGACCCCAAGCTGATCACTGAGGACTGGGTGTTCAACCACTACCGCTGGGTGGTGTGGAAACGGGCCTGCATGGAGAGGGCATTCCCAGAAGTGATGGGCAGCCTCTGTCTCACACCGGAACAGGTGCTCCTACAACTGAAATACAGGTACGGCAGCAACCAGCAAGTTATCTCTGGTCCAGGGCGTTGGTGCGCTTTCCTTCAATACAGGGCGATAGTCCAGGCTCTGTCGTAGCCGGCCGCGACCGGGAGACCCATGGGGCGGCGCACAATTGGCCCAGCGTCGTCCAGGGTAGGGGAGGGAATGGCCGGCAGGGGATGTAGCTCAGTTGGTAGAGCATGGCGTTTGCAACGCCAGGGTTGTGGGTTCGATAAAATAATGTATGTGCTAACTGTAATTCGCTCTGGATAAGAGCGTCTGCTAAATGACGTAAATGTAAAATGTAAATGTAGTAGAGGAACGCGCACTAATGCCCTGGACCAGAGCTACCAGCAAGTAACCTCTTACTGCCTAAGAACATTAAAATGATGTTGGATAAAGGTTGTGTATGTGTTTTGTGTTATATACATGCCTATTCAGCCTTTTTCGTGACCAGGATATTTCAATTTTTTTATATGGCGATATTTCAATGTTTTTATATGGCGAACACATAACGTACAGTGCAGTGAGGTTAAAGAGAGACTTGCATACATAAACTGCAGACAAAACAAATTATTGTGGGTACTAAATGTAACACACGTATTTGGGTGTTTGCCACATATGTGGCACTGGACCACAGCAACAAGTAGCAAGGTTATTGAAGAACGTGTGTGTGTGTGTGTCAGGTACGACTTGGAGGTGGACCACAGCAGGAGGTCAGCTCTGAGGAAGATCATGGAGAGAGACGACTCTGCAGTCAAGACCATGGTGCTCTGTGTGTGTGGTGTTGTCACCAAAGGCCATAACCCAACAAGGTGAATCAGAGTAGAAAAATAAAATACTTTGTTCAACATGTTCAGTTTGCCAAAATAAGTCGATTTCCTTATTCAAGATTGACTTCATATAGATCTGTTGAAATTGTTCTGTTATTTATTGGTTATAACCTCAGTTCTATTAAGGTCGAGAAGGAAATGCAACACACAGCTATGGAGCATGCTTCCCCATAAGTGTGTTGTATTTTAGTAAGCCGACTGAAAGAGAACCCTTTGTGCATCACACAGGCAGACCTGGAGTGAGACCAAGACCAAAACACCCGGGAGCGCCACAGGGTCTAAAGCGGAGCCGTCCCCTGTAGGTTTGATCTGGCTGACGGACGGCTGGTACGCAATCAAGGCCCAGCTGGACGTCCCACTGACCACCATGCTCCACCGGGGCCGCCTGGCGATTGGGGGGAAGGTGCTGGTCCACGGGGCCAAGCTGGTGGGATCTCAGGACGCCTGCTCCCCACTAGAGGCTCCCGACTCCCTCATGCTGAAGGTAAGAACTGGGTCGTGTTCATTAGGCACCAACTGGAAGAAAGGGGACTGAAACTGGGAGGAACTACTTGCACTTGTCTAATAAGAAACGCTGTTTTCCATTGCGTGCCCTAATTAACTCAAATGTAAATGTATGACGACAATATAGCCAAATGGGCTTAGAAGACACTCAATATTCAGGTTGATATATTTCAACTACATATTACTGCATGTAAATGCACTGTAAATTCGTATAGAATTCAGTCTGACTGCTTCCAGTAGGGCTGGTATGGTAATTGTCTAATCGTGTAACCGACGATTATGGATGAAGACGTCATGAAAATAAAATAACCATCATAACGTTTTTCTTCAACAAAAAATAAATAATGTTTTTATCAACTTCATATTCAAGTCGACAAACTTTACCCAAAAGCGGCAAAGTTAAAAGTAAGCCTGGTTTACATCTAACAGACGATTTTATAAGGCGAGACGAGATGAGGCAAAACTATCCAGTTTTAGAATTAGGTGTTGGTGAAGAAACAGCTGACTGAAGACAGGACGGCCAGGCATTCAAAAAGATGACACGTGCGGTTGTCTGTTTCCACGGTAACATGGTTTCTTTACAACGTGATGAATCTTTGTTGCTCCTTGTTTTAGCAAGGTGTTGTAGCAAACAAGTCTTTGGTTGCCTAGGCAACACCCCCTCCCTGCAGCAGGACATGCAGTCAGGAGCGGAGGAGAGTAGAAAATGTGTGTAAACCAGGCTTACTTTGTTGATAAAAAAATAAATAATAATAATTGCTATTTGAACGATTTTATTACGGTGACCACGGTCATTTAGCTGACAAATAAGTCATCCAAAATTCCAGAACTGTCACAGCCCTAGCTACCAGTAACAGCTAGTACTACTATTATGACTGTAAGTCGCTTTGGATAAAAGCGTCTGCTAAATGGCATATTATATTATATATTATGCTACGGATTTTCCAGGGTCATTTTCAGTAGGGCACACTAGAGCCCTGCACATGCATGATTTTTAAGCCCGAGCCCTACCCATGGCAGCAACGTTCAGGCCCGACCCAGGCCCAATTGCTTCTGCCACATTTAAGGCCTTGCCCCGAAATCAGAAATAACTTCCTCCATTAGTAAATCCATTAGCAGCTGCTCGTCTGTCACTCGCTCCCTCCACGCAGCTCGCTCTGCATGCTCTCTGCTCATGGAGGCTTGGAGTCTGAGTATCCATAGCAACGGCACCACTGGGGCTGCTCTGCTCAATGACAAGACATGAGAGCAGTTAGCTGTTAGCTACCTTTCCTCACTCTAAAATCTGACAACTCAAGGAGCGTTATTATTTTCTGTGAAATAATCTCTCCTGTCTTATAATGTATTTGAGGAGGTTGAAGCCTTTCTGACACCATGTTATGATCTTAGTCAGATATGACTGTACTGTGCAGCAGAGCATGAGCAAATGGCTCCGCTGCAAAATGTTAGTGATCAATTTAGTGATACCCGAGCCCTGCCTAGTTATTAATGCAAAAACAGGCCCTACCTGGCCTTAACCCGATGTATAATGTCGGGCTCGGTTTGAGTAGCAGAGCTCTAGAGCATACTGTAGCAAAACATTTTGCCACTGCAATCGGCGTATGCACTCTAGAGACCCCAATGGTCTAGCAACAAGTTGGGTTGTAGGTTGCAGCCACCCTCCGCAGCCTGTATTTTCCTTGAACAGTGTTTCATTTGGGATTGGGCGTAAACTAAAGCAAAAAAATTTTTGTATTTTTGTTTTGTTTGAGCAGCGATTTTGTAAGCAATTGGCTGCAGCTACCTACCTCCGGGGACAAAAGCAGTTGATAGGCTACAGGAGGCAGCTACAGTGAGGGGGAAAAGGTATTTGATCCCCTGCTGATTTTGTATGTTTGCCCACTGACAAAGAAATGATCAGTCTATAATTTTAATGGTAGATTTATTTGAACAGTGAGAGACAGAAAAACAACAAAAAAATCCAGAAAAACGCATGTCATAAATGTTATAAATTGATTTGCATTTTAATGAGGGAAATAAGTATTTGACCCCCTCTCAATCGGAAAGATTTCTGGCTCCCAGGTGTCTTTTATACAGGTAACGAGCTGAGATTAGGAGCACACTCTTAAAGGGAGTGCTCCTAATCTCAGCTTGTTACCGGTATAAAAGACACCTGTCCACAGAAGCAATCAATCAATCAGATTCCAAACTCTCCACCATGGCCAAGACCAAAGAGCTCTCCAAGGATGTCAGGGATAAGATTGTAGACCTACACAAGGCTGGAATGGGCTACAAGACCATCGCCAAGCAGCTTGGTGAGAAGGTGACAACAGTTGATTATTTGCAAATGGAAGAAACACAAAATAACTGTCAATCTCCCTCGGACTGGGGCTCCATGCAAGATATCACCTCGTGGAGTTGCAATGATCAAGAGAACGGTGAGGAATCAGCCCAGAACTACACGGGAGGATCTTGTCAATGATCTCAAGGCAGCTGGGACCATAGTCACCAAGAAAACAATTGGTAACACACTACGCCGTGAAGGACTGAAATCCTGCAGCGCCCGCAAGGTCCCCCTGCTCAAGAAAGCACATATACAGGGCCTTCTGAAGTTTGCCAATGAACATCTGAATGATTCAGAGGAGAACTGGGTTGAAAGTGTTGTGGTCAGATGAGACCAAACTCGAGCTCTTTGGCATCAACTCAACTCGCCGTGTTTGGAGGAGGAGGAATGCTGCCTATGACCCCAAGAACACCATCCCCACCGTCAAACATGGAGGTGGAAACATTATGCTTTGGGGGTGTTTTTCTGCTAAGGGGACAGGACAACTTCACCGCATCAAAGGGACGATGGACGGGGCCATGTACCGTCAAATCTTGGGTGAGAACCTCCTTCCCTCAGCCAGGGCATTGAAAATGGGTCGTGGATGGGTATTCCAGCATGACAATGACCCAAAACACACGGCAAAGGCAACAAAGGAGTGGCTCAAGAAGAAGCACATTAAGGTCCTGGAGTGGCCTAGCCAGTCTCCAGACCTTAATCCCATAGAAAATCTGTGGAGGGAGCTGAAGGTTCGAGTTGCCAAACGTCAGCCTCGAAACCTTAATGACTTGGAGAAGATCTGCAAAGAGGAGTGGGACAAGATCCCTCCTGAGATGTGTGCAAACCTGGTGGCCAACTACAAGAAACGTCTGACCTCTGTGATTGCCACCAAGGGTTTTGCCACCAAGTACTAAGTCTTGTTTTGCAGAGGGGTCGAATACTTATTTCCCTCATTAAAATGGAAATCAATTTATAACATTTTTGAAATGCGTTTTTCTGGATTTTTTTGTTGTTATTCCGTCTCTCACTGTTCAAATAAACCTACCATTAAAATTATAGACGGATCATGTCTTTGTCAGTGGGCAAACGTACAAAATCAGCAGGGGATCAAATACTTTTTCCCCTCACTGTATAAGATAATGAATTTAACTGTTTGGAAGTGTTTCTTATTGGATAAGTTCCGATGGTACCTCCCCATTTCACTCTGTTTTGGACCTATTTCTTCTGTTTCGTGCCTAATGAACACGACCCTGATGTATCTGGTTTCAGATTGGGGCCAACGGCACCAGAGCAGCGCGTTGGGACACTAGGCTAGGGTTCTACCGCGACCCTAGACCGTTCCTCCTCCCGCTCTCCTCCCTCTACAGCAACGGAGGCCCCGTGGGCTGTGTGGACATTGTGGTGCTGAGGAGCTACCCTACCCAGGTGCGTTTCACGGTACACGTTAGCTCTGGTCCAGTGTGTGCGTTTACCATTTAGTGGAGGAACATGCACTTACGACCTGAACCGGAGCTAGGTACACATCATCCACTTAATGAATCCCCTAAGCAGGCATTGCTAGGACCAGGAGTTTTCCCCAGACCACGTAACCTGAACAGGAAAAACTCTGGACCCCTAGCTGTGAGTGGTGTATTTTGAGAGGGCGCGTTTTATATGTATAACTTAGGCCCATGTAACACTCCTGGCCCTTGATGAGAGGTTTATTCAGAGAGGTTGTGTGTCCCTCCAGTGGATGGCAAAGAAGCCGGACGGAGGGTTTGTGTTCCGCTCGGGCCGTGCCGAGGAGAGGGAGGCGCAGCGGCATGGCGACACCAAACACCGAGCCATGGAGATCCTGTTCGCCAAGATCCAGGCCCAGTTTGAGAAGGAGGAGGACGGTAGGAAATCCTAGTCCATAAGGAATAGGGTGCCCCTGTCACTGTCTATTAGGGTTTGTTGAGGTTAGATAAGGTCTGTCAATCATATTACCAGTTTAATTTACTGCAACCTTTTGGTTTGATTTAGCCTATAGACTTGTTCAGGTTCCTATATTTCAACTACAAATTATTTTAATGTTCCTGCATGTATTATGTATTGCAAATTCTTATAGAATTTTGTCTGACTGTGCTATCAATAACAGCTACTACTTCCTACTATTACTACTAATCTTCCAGAGTCATTTTCAGTAGGGCACACTATAGCAAAACATTTAGCCATGTAAATCTGTGTAAGTTCAGGTCACGCCTCCCGTTTTACTCAGTTTCAAAACCTTTTCCGCCTACTGAATATGACCCAGCAGTTTGTGGTAAAACCAGAGGCCGAAGGCGGACCCTGCGTGGTGGAGACATTGAGACACTGCTGGACGGGGAGGAGCTGTACGACGCGGTGGAGAATGACCCAGTTTATCTGGAGGTGACCATAATCACCCTGTCCAAATCAGTTTGATCAACATTGGTTTAAGTAAAGCATCAGCCTAATGGGCCCTGGTTAAAAGTAGTGCACTAAATATAGAATAGGGTGCCATTTGGGACATATCAGCTGCTAGGAAGGAGTTTTAGTTATGGTTAAGGATACATGACTGATTTGATATTATGCTTTATTTAAATCCCACCAATGTTGATCAAACTGATTTTGGTTTGATGGATGTCCAAAACAAGTGTAAAAAAACAGACAACCAGCCATGATTCTAGAGTGCATGAACAAGATGTCTGATGTTGACAAAACTTGTGTCAATATATCCTCATAACAGTTGAGCAAAACAATAATTTCATTAATTTATTTATACAGTTAAAAACATAAATTGGGAACTTGAGCCCTTCTTTGTAGACCTACTCTCTTTCATATTGTTTTGTGCTAGGGCCGTCTGAGTGAGCAGCAATGGGAGGCGTTGAACAACTACAGGCGTTGTGTTGGTGAGAGGAGGCAGGCCGCGCTGCAGGAGCGGTTCCGCCAGGCTCTGGAGGGCGCCCAGGAGGGCGAGGGCGGGAGCTGTCCCAACCGAGACGTGACCCCCATCTGGAAGCTCTGCGTCGCTGACTCCAGGGCCAAGCTGGGCAGCAATGGTATGTATGGATCTTTGTATATCAATCAGGGATGTAGTGGAACCTTTTTTTCAAACTTTGTTCAGACAAAGGAGAAAGTACAAGGGAGACAGATATGGGACAAGAGGGAAAGTTAGGTTGACACAGGGATTGAACCCTCCGAAGGGGTAGTAGACCGTCCTTGTTTAGTTCTTGGTTCCTCACCCAACACCCTCCTCCTTCCCCCAGTGTACCTGTTGAATATCTGGCGCCCCTCCATGGATCTGCAGTCCTTGCTGAAGGAGGGCTGTCGATACAAGGCCTACCAACTCTCCACGTCGGAGGGCAAGAAACGAGCCGGTAACACCTCCATTCAGCTCACAGCCACCAAGAAAACCCAGTTCCAGAATTTACAGGTAACACTGAACTTATACGACACAGAAGTGTGCGAATACGAATGTAAATTCTAAAATGATCTTTCCCAATCTCAAATCAACCCTAAACTATACCCTAGGCACTTGTGTATACACTCACCGGCCATTTTAGAAGGTACACCCATCAAGTATCGGGTCGGACCCACCCTTTGCCTCCAGAACAGCCTGAATTCTTTGTGGCATGGATTCTACAATGTGTTGGAAACATTCGTTGCTCAATTGGTATCAAGGGACCTAACGTGTGCCAGGAAAACATTCCCCACACCAGTACACCACCGCCTGCACCAGACAGGATGGGTCCAAATCCGTACTCTGCCGTTAGTATGATGGAACAGGAACCGCGATTCGTCAGACCAGGCGATGTTTTTCCACACCTCAATTGTCCAGTGTTGGTGATCGCGTGCTCGCTGGAGCCGCTTCTTGTTTTTAGCTGATAGGAGTGGAACCCGGTGTGGTCTTCTGCTGCAGTAGTCCATCCGTGACAAGGACTGACGAGTTGCGTCTTCCGAGATGCCGTTCTGCACACCACTGTTGTCTGTCTGTTTGGGGCCCGCCTGTTAACTTGCACGAGTCTTGCCATTCTCCTTCGACCTCTCATCAACAAGCTGTTTTTGCCCACAGGACTGCCACTGACTGAATGTTTTTTTTTGTTTGTTGCACCATTCTCAGGAAATCCTAGACACGGTCGTGCGTGAAAAGCCCAGGAGGGCGGCCATTTCTAACGATCAATCGAACAGTAACTGAATCCTCGATGCCTGTCTGCCTGCTTTATATAGCAAGCCAAGGCCACGTGACTCACTGTCGTGAACGGGGTGGTGTATGTAATAAACTGGCCAGTGAGTGTAATAAACTGGCCAGGAAGTATTCACACCCCTTGACTTTTTCCACATTTTGTTGTTCCAAAGTGGGAGTAAGTCTCTAAGCTTTCCATTTTTTTACATTTTACATTTTAGTCATTTAGCAGACGCCATTATCCAGAGCGACTTACAGTTAGTGAGTGCATACATTATTTTTTCATACTGGCCCCCCGTGGGAATCTAACCCACAACCCTGGCGTTGCAAACGCCATGCTCTACCAACTGAGCTACATCCCTGCCGGCCATTCCCTCCCCTACCCTGGACGACGCTGGGCCAATTGTGCGCCGCCCCATGGGTCTCCCGGTCGCGGCCGGCTACGACAGAGCCTAGATTCGAACCAGGATCTCTAGTAGACCACTGCGCCACTCGGGAGATCCTGGTTCGAATCCAGGCTCTGGACAACCATTTTCAGATCTTGCCATAGATTTAAGTCAAACACATTGTAGAAGTCTAGCAGATTTTAAGTCAAAGCTGTAACTCGGCCACTCAGGAACATTCACGGTCTTCTTGGTAAGCAACTCCAGTGTAGATTTGGCCTTGTGTTTTAGGTTATTGTCCTGCTGAAAGGTGAATTCATCTCCCAGTGTCTGGTGGAAAGCAGACTGAACCAGATTTTCCTCTAGGATTTTGCCTGTGCTTAGCTCCATTCCGTTCCTTTTTTATCCTGACAAACTCCCCAGTCCTTAATGATTACAAGCATATATATAACATGATGCAGCCACCACTATGCTTGAAAATATGGAGAGTGGTACTGACTGTGTTGTATTAGATTTGGCCGAAACACAACACTTTCAATTTCAGGACAAAATGTTAATATCTTTGCCACATTTTTTGCAGTATTACTTCAGTGCCTTGTTGCAAACAGGATGCATGTTTTGGAATATTTTTATTCTTTACAGGCTTCCTTTTCACTCTGTCAATTAGGTTAGTATTGTGGAGTAACTACAATGTTAATCCATCCTAGTTATTCCCCTATCACAGCCATTAAACTCTGTTTTAAACTCACCATTGGCCTCATGGTGAAATCCCTGAGCGGTTTCTTCCGGCAACGGAGTTAGGAAGGACACCTATCTTTTTAGTGACTGGGTGTATTGATGCACCATCCAAATTGTAGTTAATAATTTTACCATGCGCAAAGGGATATTCAATGTCTTTAAAAATATAAATATATATATATATATATATATATATATAAATTATTATTTTTACCAATCTACCAATAGGTGCCCTTTTGAGGCATTGGAAAACCTCCCTGGTCTTTGTGGTTGAATATGTGTTTGAAATTCACTATATGTGTGGGGGGTACAGAGATGAGGTAGTCATTCAAAAATCATGTTAAACGTGCAACTTATTATGTGACTTGTTAAACAAATGTTTACTCCTGAACTCATATAGGCTTGCCATAACAAAGGGGTTGAATACTTATTGACTCAACGCATTTGAGCTTTTCATTTGTAAATATAAAAAATAAAAAAAACATAATTCTACTTTGAAATGATGGGGTATTGTGTGTAGGCCAGTGACAAATCTCAATTTAATCCATTTTGAATTCAGCCTGTAACACAACAAAATGTGGAAAAAGTTCAAGGGGTGTGAATACTTTAAGGTCCTCAAAAGTGCCTAGGGGCAAGGGTTTTAGGGATAGATTTGGAATGGGTTGTTTCGTGTCATTGTCTCCATCACCCAGGCTTCTGCAGGGTGGTTGTGTGAGCGTTTCCAAGCCCGAGAGGCGGTCGGCTTTCGCGTTCTCCTGAACCTGGACTTTCAGCCACTCTGTGGAGAGGTGGATCTGGTGGGCTACGTCATCTCCATCACAGACAGACAAGGTGGGCTGGGTCCTGTTCATTAGGGCACACAACTGAAAATGTTTTGAAATGTTTTGCAACGAAAATGAGCGTTTCTTATAGTCCCACCAGTCCCTCCCTGTTTCAGTCCGTTTTCTTATTTCTGGTTCCTGATGGACACGACCCTGTTTGGTCTGTAAAGAGTTGTTCAGTTCTCAACTGGGTTATTCAGTTCAATTGATTTTATTCATCCCCCAAGGGGCAATTATAGCTGGGCTTAAAAAGTGACAGGCAGACTAAATATAACAATAGGACAAATCAGACCTGGGTTCAAATGCATGCATATTTAAAGATCCAAATGCAGCCTTTTTTTATATCAAATAATTTTTGGGTAACAATGAAGTACCTTAATGTGATTGTTTTGAATTAAAATGGTCAAAAGCAACAAATAGCTTTTTAGCAAAGAGCAATTTCTCAAGCAAGAATTTTGGTAGGACTGTCTGGGAGTGGTCTGAGTGGGCAGGGGAAAACTGAAAACTAGCTGTTATTGGCAGAGATGTTTGGAACTCTCTTATTGGACTATTAACTAATTTACTGCCTGGTGATGTCAGCAGGCCGGCCAAAACTCCATCCCACCAAGACAGGCTAACATTTCACAGCTCTTAATCTAAAAAGGCATCGTCATCATTTCACAGTATTATTGTTAATATAATATAATAATATAATTAGTATTATTGCAACCTCATAGTGTGGAAATATATGTAAAACACAGGAAAATCACGTTTTTTAATGCACTGGGCCTTTACGTACTTACGTATTTTAAATGCACTTTTCTGTGTGTTTGAGTATTTTAAAATGTTTAGAATAGAATTAGTTGTAAATACAAGCCAATACTTTCAATGTGTTTTTTTCCAAACACATTCCAATGTTCATCTACTTGTATTTTCAAATAAACTTTGTCTAAATACTTACTTCAAAATGTATTTTAAGGTAATTTAAATAAATAGTATTTGAACAGAGGTCTGGGATAAATACATAACCAACAACATATGGCATATCAAGACAGAACAGATACACACTTCAGGAATGAAGTCCAGCAATGTGGCAAGGCTGTGGATAGGACTAACTCCATTGACATGCTGTGCCTGCAGGTCATTCTCCAGTGGTGTATCTAGTGGATGGCCGGCTGGACTTTGTCAAGGTGCGCTGCTGCAGCAGTCTGGTCCAGCAGGGCTTGGAGGAGCTGGTCAAGCCTCTGGCTCTGGTGGCCCTCAGTAACCTTCAGCTCAGAGCCCAGCGCTCCTCCTCCCCCATCCGCAGCGCCATCCCTGGCCTATACGCTGGAGATCTGGCCGTGTTTTCCACCAACCCTAAGGAGCCACATCTACAGGAGGCTGCCGCTGAACTCAGGACCCTTGTCCAGGTAGCTAGGGATTGAGGGCGTTTGAAGGTTTCGAAATGTTACAATCAAACCTGGAGTGGGATAGTGACAGAAAATATGTTATACAGGGAAATTGGCTACCTTATTCCTGTGAGGTCAATATTTGTCTTCCTCGTTGCCACTGATTTGAGGATATTTGCAACAAACTGATGTGTGTGTTTTGAGCAGGGCCAGGAACACTTCTTCAGGACTGCAGAGGAGAGGTTATCTAACTTAGTCCAGGGCTCTGTCCCGTGTCCTGCTCCGCCGCCAAGGACTCCAGGCTCGAAAGCAGATGCCAAACCAGATGAAAGGACTACCGTGAGTTTTTGTTGGTTGCCCAATCAGACAACTATTCTGGTGAAGCTGGAATGTACATTCCTATGTACACAACACAAGTCTGTATCAATGTTATTCACCACTACACATCAAGTCACATCTACACATGGCCTATTGTACATTAAATTAACAAAGAGTGTGTGTCAGGGTTCACACAAGGTGCTTGAGGTGCTTAAAGTACTTGAATTTGTCACTCTGAAATTCAAATACTGGAATACCTTGAAAATCAGACATTTTCTCAAGTTGGTACTTTAATTTAAATGCGTTTGAGCCAATCAGTTGTGTTGTGACAAGGTATACAGAATATAGCCCTATTTGGTAAAAGACCAAGTCCATATTATGACAAGAACAGCTCAAATCTGCAAATAGAAACGACAGTCCATCGTTACTTTAAGACATGAAGGTCAGTCAATACGGAAAATGTCAAGAACTTTGAAAGTTTCTTCAAGTGCAGTTGCAAAAACCATCAAGCGCTTTGATGAAACTGGCTCTCATGAGGACCACCACAGTAATGGAAGACCCATATTGACCTCTGCTGCAGAGGATAAGTTCATTAGAGTTACCAGCCTCAGAAATTGCAGCCCAAATAAATGCTTCCGAGTTCAAGTCACAGACACATCTCAACATCAACTGTTCAGAGGGGACTATGTGAATCAGGCCTTCATGGTCGAATTGCTGCAAAGAAACCACTACTAAAGGACAGCAATAAGAGGAAGAGACCTGCTTGGGCCAAGAAACACGAGCAATGGACATTAGACCGGTGGAAATCTGTCCTTTGATCTGGAGTACAAATCTGAGATTTTTCGTTCCAACCGCCATGTCTTCGTGGGTGAACGGATGATCTCTGCATGTGTAGTTCCCACCGTAAAGCATGGAGGAGGAGGTGTAATGGTGTGGGGGTGCTTTGCTGGTGACGCTGTCTGTGATTTTATTTAGAATTCAAGGCACACTTAACCAGCATGGCTACCACAGCATTCTGCATCGATACGCCATCCCATCTGGTTTGGGCTTAGTAGAACTATCATTTGTTTTTCAACAGGACAATGACTCAACACACCTCCAGGCTGTGTAAGGGCTATCTGACAAAGAAGGAGAGTGATGGAGTGCTGCATCAGATGACCTGGCCTCCACAATCCCCCGACCTCAACCCAATTGAGATGGTTTGGGATGAGTCGGACGGCAGAGTGAAGGAAAAGCATCGGACAAGTGCTAAGCATATGTGGCAACTCCTTCAAGACTGTTGGAAAAGCATTCCTGGTGAAGCTGGTTGAGAGAATGCCAAGAGTGTGCAAAGCTGTCATCAATGCAAAATATATTTTGATTTGTTTAACACTTTTTTTGGTTACTACATGATTCCATATGTGTTATTTCATAGTTTTGATGTCTTCACTATTATTCTACAATGTAGAAAATAGTAAAAATAAAGAAAAACCCTTGAATGAGTAGGTGTGTCCAAACTTTTGACTGGAACTATATATGTAGTGAAACAATGTATTATTGAGTAGAACTTGTAAGGTAGTGATGAATACTTTAATTTTTTTCATGAGGTTGTGGCGATATACTGCCATCTGGTGGCAACTAGAAACAATTGCATAATACTAACTATTACAAATTGATGGTCCTTGAAAATAAATATTAGTGCTTGACAAAGTACTTGAAAGTCCTTGAATTTGACTTGCCACTATCTGTACTAACCCTAGTGTGTATTGTCTTCCAGATGACACCCCAGCAGTCTGTACAAAGCGTTGGCCCCTTCACCCCGCTGAACAAGGACAAAGACCCCAAGAGCCTAAAAAGAAAGAGGGGCCTAGACTACCTGTGTCGCATCCCCTCTCCCCCTCCACTCTGCCCCCTGGGCACCATGACCTTACCTTCGCCGTGCATCAACAAGACCTTCAACCCCCCTCGCAGGGCCGAGACCCACCGGATCCTAAAGACATCTCTGGCCCCCGCTCCTCGGCATGTCCACCCGCCCCTGGAGGATGAGTGGGTGGAGGATGAAGAGCTGGTCATGATTGACACTCAGGCCCTACACGATGGCATAGGGATAGACACGTGACAGAGAATGTATTGGACTATTATTTTGAACGTTTCAGAAAACATCAGCACAAATTGGTGGCTGGTTAGTTTCTCCAGTCCACATGTTGAATTTGTGTGTTGGGAATCCACCTGGAAAGATGTAGTGCCATTTGTAAGCTACAGGGGGGGGAACAAGCTCCATTTAGAGAGGCTAACCAAGACGTGATTGGTGCCATGTGAATGTTAACACTAGTAAAATGTTGGAAAGTGATCATATGGAGTTGATGTGTTCGTAACATCAGGCTGAATCAAGTTAGGATTTGGTCCATCTTACCTTTTTGGGCCAAAGTATTGACGCCATCAAGGAGCCCAAGAAAATGCATCGGACAGAAAATACTTGTCTTGGCGAACTCCTGAGCTTTTTTAGTGAGGCTGCTTCAGTGTTTTCTGAAATGGCATTAGAAGAACTGACACGAACTGTATAATATGAATGCAAAAATACTGTAACATTGTTGTCCTTGTGTTTATGACCTCTTTTCGCTGACATCTGCATGTTCACAATAAATGTAATAATTTATTAGTCAATATAAGGATGTTGTGTAATTTATAAGCAGGATTTTACTGGTGTGGTAAAACACTTAAACCGCAACCGCAGGTGGCGATGTCGCTGCGAAACTGCCTCCATTGTTTCACACAGACAGTCGGACTTCCTGTTAACTTCCGTAAACAAAATGTTAGCTAGCTAATTCAAAATCATGAAAATGTATTATGATAACATGTAATGCTTCAACTTCATCACTTTATGGTAAGTAGCTAATTTATTAGCAAAATACCCATAGGCAGCCGTCAAAGTTATCAGTTATCAAAATATTGCCAAGCGATAACTTCGCAAGACTTGCTTTGACATTGGCTAGCTTGCTAATGTTTGTAGCTATACTCCGTTGTATACTCTTCGTTTCATCTAGATTGTATATTTTGAATTGCTTTATAATAATACAAAAATAAGTTTGCTAATGTTGGCTTGCTAGCCATCTATTTAGCGTTGTTTAGTTCGTTTTAAAGAATAGCAGGTATAGTTAAAGCTTGCTGCTGGTAAATGAAGTGCAGCAATATTGTTTCTTTAAAAAGTATCAACGTTTTGGCACTGATTTCAGCTTCACTGCCAAGCTAACTTGCTAGCTAAGGATTGCTAATCAAACCCATTAACTATGATGTGCAGTAGAGGGATTTTTGATTTGTCATTGAGGTCTTGTCTTATTACCTTCATAGCATGTTTATTCAAAGGATTTACCCCACCATCTCGATGTCTCATGGAAATGCGAACTCTGCAACTTCTCTCACTGGAAGAACTGGAGAACTGCTGGAGTGTTCAAAAGCGGAGACAAATGGAGCCTTTGCAACAGACAGAGTGCTGCCAGTGAGAATTAATGGAGGTCCCGGCATAAGAGGCAGAGAACCAGTTCTCAAAAAGCTGGGTACCAGCAGCGCTGCCTTCATTGGACCTGTATGTCGTCCTAAGGCAGTCCAGAGACCTCCCAAGCCGAAAAAAGTAAAGAGACCTTCTAAACCTAACATTGAAGAGACACTGAATGAGTTCTATAAAGAGCTTGAGGAGATTGAACCAAAAGACAGCGTTGATGGTAGCAAGGCCAAAAATGAAGGCTCAGTTGAATTACTCAACGCTTATAACCCACCACCTGCAAGAAAATGGTCAAATGCAAGCCATGACCATAACCAACCTAATAACGCGCCTTGCCCACACTGGTATGACAACAAGCCATACCAGCCCAGGAGACTGATGCCTAGGGGGCCCCGCTTTGGTCCCAACTCAGATCACAATAACTGGCAACCTCCGCCACCTTTCCGCACTCAGCCATACCCCAGGTTCCACAGACCTCCCCACCGCTTCCCACCACCACCTCCCGCAGACCACCAATATCACCCTCAACGAGAGGGCTCCCAGCAGGTCCTACCTTTCCACAGGTTCCCTGTCCCTGATGGGTACAGGAACTCTCCAGACATGGATGACAATGGCTTTCCCCCACAGCACTCTAACAACCGAGACAGAGGGGGCTACGGTTGGAGTGACGACGAGTATGAACAGCAGGGTAATGACCAGCAAGGTTCTTCTAACTGGCAGCAGAGGTTTGACAGAGGACCTGAGCCACCTCAGCCAGAGGATCAGCATCAACCACCAGAAGATACAACATATGACTATGGTCCTTCTCTGGTTCTCATTCTGATGAGGGGAGCCCCGGGATCTGGGAAATCAACACTGGCCAGGTGTGTTTTTATCAGGGAAACATGGTTGGGTAACTAACATGCTATAAAGGGTTTAGAACAAGTATATGAACAGTTTATGAATCAGTAATAAAACAGTTGTAATTGGTTGAAATTATGTGATTTTCTGTTTGACAAGCATCAAAATGACAATCGCACAATTTCAACCAATGAGTCATACGTTAACTATTTACTGCTCATGTTTAAATGTATTTGTCTCTATTTTTAAAGCATTTGTTTTGAGCCATTGCATGTGTGTTACTCTAGGGAACTGCTGTCGACAGGCTCCAGTGGGCTGGTTCTGAGTACAGATGACTACTTCTCCCAGGAGGAAGGCTACCTCTACGACCCCAGTCTGCTGGGGGCAGCACACTATTGGAACCAGAACAGAGGTTGGCTCTCATAGCAGTGTCTTTACAAATTCCAGTTTTTATTTTATTTTGATAGTAGTTATAAATGAAGTCCATCATTGCTATAGTTTTAAAATATATTCCGATTTTATTGAACACCTAGAATGAGAGAATGACAGTAGGAAAGCTAGAAAGAGATTGTGTCAAAGGTTAGTAGCCCTGATTCAAACCTATGCCAATACTGTTGACGCATGTTGGAAGCTGAGGCATTGTTAGACCAGCCAGGCCACCATCGTTGCTATTAATATTATATATTGTTTGATTGGATATAGTGTTTTGTGAACATGTAAAAAGGTGTATATATTAATAATTTTACCTCAATGCTTTATATTCTTTCAGCCGAAGAAGCGATGTATAAACGCTGTTCTCCTGTCATTATTGATAACACAAACATGCAAGCTTGGGAAATGAAGCCATATGTTAAACTGGTAAGTTTTTATCCTTTTATATTGTCTGGGTTGCAGACAGCATTTTTCACTTATCAAAAATGTACCCATTTGATGTACATTTTCATGAATATGATGAATACTTATTTCTCACCATGCAGGCCTTGGAGAGAGGATACAGTATCAACTTTCATGAGCCTCACACCAGCTGGAAATTTGATCCCATCGAGTTAGAGAAGTAAGTCTGTCCATGATTGTCTGCATTAAAAGATACCTGTACTAATGTCATGTAAGATACCATGCCCATTTATTTGGAGAATATACGTTGTACAAATTATATAAGGTACATCGAGGGGCGTTCACTCACTGCTCTAGAAAGCAGGGGAAAACGGGTCAATTTAAGAGGGTGCTACTAAATTAATGTCAACGTAGTTATCTTTGCCCCATGTCGTCATAAATCATATACAATTATTCATTAGATTATTCTCTACAATATTGTAACCTTAATATGCTTGTACTTAACAGTGATTAAATAAGAAAGTTAGTTTTTTGTGACCGTTGCCAATTTAGACTGTGCTGCTCTTGGTTGTGTCGCTTTCATTTTCGGCGTTGGGATGTCGTAACATTTGGAGGCGTTTCCACGCTTTGGACCAATCAAAATCAACTTGATACCCTCGTCAGTTTCATCTCCAGATCATTGGCTTTCATTGGCTATAACCACGATCAATCTATATTGAGGGGCCGTTTCTATGTCGATTTAAACGCCCACACCAGCAGAAATCCAATTTTCTAGCTGAAAGACGATGGCCAGAATTTACCCATGATGTTGTACAACGATTTAAAAATATATATCTGACCATTTTATAAATGGTGTAAATGCGTGATATGATTGAATTTTGTAACCTCGCTCCCCCCATCGCCCCAAGACCAATGGTTTTGATGACTAAAGATTTGCTTCACTACATGCTCAGTTCCACTGCTTTGATTGTGTCTATCCTATAATGAAAAGCCACCCGCGAAAGAAAATTCAAGGAACTTGTTTATCTACACTACATGACCAAAAGTATTTGGACACCTGCTCCTCGAACATCTAATTCCAAAATCATGGGCGTTAATATGGAGTTGGTCCCCCCCCTTTTCTGCTATAACAGCCTCCGTCCTTCTGGGAAGGCTTTCCCCTAGATGTTGGAACATTGCTGCAAGGAAGTGCTTCCATTCAGCCACAAGAGCAATGGTGAGGTCGGGCACTGATGTTGGGCGTTTAGGCCAGGCACGCAGTCGGCGTTCCAATTCATCCCAAAGGTGTTCAATGGGGTTGAGGTTAGGGCTCTGTGCAGGCCAGTCAAGTTCTTCCACACTGATCTCGACAAACCATTTCTGTATGGACCTCGCTTTGTGCATAGGGGTATTATCATGCTGAAACAGGAAAGGGCCTGCCCCAAACTGTTGCCACAAAGTTGGAAGCACAGAATTGTCTAGAATGTCACTGTATGCTGTAGCGTTAATATGTCCCATCACTGGAACTAAGGGGCATAGCCCGAACCATGAAAAACAGCCCCAGACCATTATTCCTCCTCCACCAAACTGTACAGTTGGCACTATGCATTCGGGCAGGTAGCAACATCAGCACAAAAACGGTTAGTCGGGAGCTTCATTAAATAGGTTTCCATGGCCCAGCAGCCACAGGCAAGCCTAAGATCACCATGCGCAATGCAAAGCGTCGGCTGGAGTGGTGTAAAGCTCGCCGCCATTGGACTCTGGAGCATTGGAAACGTGTTCTCTGGCGTGATGAATCATGCTTAACCATCTGGCAGTCTGACGGACGAATCTGGGTTTGGCGGATGCCAGGAGAACGATACCTGCCCGACTGCATAGTGCCAACTGTCCACATACTTTTGGTCATGTAGTGTATTTTTTATAAACCTTCAATGAAAGACTCATTTTATATGTGAACACCCTAATACATTGCCTGTATTTGATATTTTTTGCATGAAGACATATTTATAGAACAACAAATACAATGTTTCTCCTCCCCTCCAGGAGAAACAAGCACAGTGTGTCTAGGGAGAAGATTGGGCAGATGCTGGAGCGGTTTGAGCTGCCCATGTCCCTGGACATTGTGATGAACTCCCAGGAGCCTTTTAGACCCACAAGACATCCCTAACAGCAGCAGAGACACCGTAGGACCACTAGTCCTTATGTCCTGGGGTTGTATTCATCAGTGCACACCGTAGCAAAACGTTCTGCACTGTAGCAAAATGTTTTGCAAAGGAAAACAAAAATAAGTTTCTTATTGGACAAGTTTAAGTAGTCTCTGCTTCATATTTGTACATTTTTGTCATAAAAAATTAAATGGGTATTGTGTTCTTCCAATCTAATTCTGCATGTTGGAGGATTTACCATATTCATATGTAATACCGTTCTTGTGGTATGCATCTATCAATGGTGAAATGCAAGGATCATTCCACTTTGTGAAAATTATTGGATGTTTGCTTTTACCAAAGTAGGCCCACCTGCAGGGGTCACTATTAGACCACTTCAATTTGTCATTCGGCACCACTGTCTAGCCTGACGACTCTAACTGAATTCTTCCGCTGCTCTGTCGAGAACAAACTAACATCCGTGGGCGTGGCATTGTTTGGCCAGAGCAAAACCGACTATCAAAAACTTAACCCTAACCTAATTTTAATACATTCTGAAATTAAATATCGGTTTGGGCGTTAGGCGTGTCCTTATAGCCTTTTCCAGTGTGGGTCGCCAGGCAAACCACTCAACACTGGATTGGTGCAGCTATGGACAAATTGGCGCCATTATGAAACTTAGAGGAGGATCACAGTGGGAGAGGGAAAGACGATTGGCTACAATTCATCAAATAAGGTAGTATTTAATTAAAACCCGATTTATCAATTTGAGTATTGTATTCCAACAAGGCATGAAGTCGATTTTGTACTCCAACGAAGAGGCGACAGATACATTTAAATTGCTATGATTCAAAGGAATGATTTGTAATCCATCTGATTGCGGTGGCTTGCCGGCCTAGGCCTAGCTTGCTTGCTTGCTCCCACTGTCCAGCCAGATAGCTAGCGTGCGTGTGACTGCAGTGTTATTATTGAATTGCTTCAGATTTGCCAGCTAGCCTAGTTCCTCGCCACATACAACACAATCATTGAGTCGTCGCTAGGTAGAAGCTAGCTAGCTGAATAAGAATAGCCTGGTCAATGGTATGGCGTTTGTCTAACCATAATAATCAGACAAAGACGTTCATTACGTCTCTAGTTGGAACCGTGCTATGCCAGAATGTTGACACCGCGAAGCCTGCGCGAGAACTCTGTCTAGGAAAATGTACAGTGGGGAAAAAAAGTATTTAGTCAGCCACCAATTGTGCAAGTTCTCCCACTTAAAAAGATGAGAGGCCTGTAATTTTCATCATAGGTACACGTCAACTATGACAGACAAATTGAGATTTTTTTTCTCCAGAAAATCACATTGTAGGATTTTTAATGAATTTATTTGCAAATTATGGTGGAAAATAAGTATTTGGTCAATAACAAAAGTTTCTCAATACTTTGTTATATACTCTTTGTTGGCAATGACACAGGTGAAACGTTTTCTGTAAGTCTTCACAAGGTTTTCACACACTGTTGCTGGTATTTTGGCCCATTCCTCCATGCAGATCTCCTCTAGAGCAGTGATGTTTTGGGGCTGTCGCTGGGCAACACGGACTTTCAACTCCCTCCAAAGATTTTCTATGGGGTTGAGATCTGGAGACTGGCTAGGCCACTCCAGGACCTTGAAATGCTTCTTACGAAGCCACTCCTTCGTTGCCCGGGCGGTGTGTTTGGGATCATTGTCATGCTGAAAGACCCAGCCACGTTTCATCTTCAATGCCCTTGCTGATGGAAGGAGGTTTTCACTCAAAATCTCACGATACATGGCCCCATTTATTCTTTCCTTTACACGGATCAGTCGTCCTGGTCCCTTTGCAGAAAAACAGCCCCAAAGCATGATGTTTCCACCCCCATGCTTCACAGTAGGTATGGTGTTCTTTGGATGCAACTCAGCATTCTTTGTCCTCCAAACACAACGAGTTGAGTTTTTACTAAAAAGTTCTATTTTGGTTTCATCTGACCATATGACATTCTCCCAATCCTCTTCTGGATCATCCAAATGCACTCTAGCAAACTTCAGACGGGCCTGAACATGTACTGGCTTAAGCAGGGGGACACATCTGGCACTGCAGGATTTGAATCCCTGGCGGCGTAGTGTGTTACTGATGGTAGACTTTGTTACTTTGGTCCCAGCTCTCTGCAGGTCATTCACTAGGTCCCCCCGTGTGGTTCTGGGATTTTTGCTCACCGTTCTTGTGATCATTTTGACCCCACGGGGTGAGATCTTGCGTGGAGCCCCAGATCGAGGGAGATTATCAGTGGTCTTGTATGTCTTCCATTTCCTAATAATTGCTCCCACAGTTGATTTCTTCAAACCAAGCTGCTTACCTATTGCAGATTCAGTCTGTTGCAGGTCTACAATTTTGTTTCTGGTGTCCTTTGACAGCTCTTTGGTCTTGGCCACTGACTGTTTGAGGTTGTGGACAGGTGTCTTTTATACTGATAACAAGTTCAAACAGGTGCCATTAATACAGGTAACGAGTGGAGGACAGAGGAGCCTCTTAAAGAAGTTGTTAGAGGTCTGTGAGAGCCAGAAATCTTGCTTGTTTGTAGGTGACCAAATACTTATTTTCCACCATAATTTGCTAATAAATTCATAAAAAATCCTACAATGTGATTTTCTGGATTTTTTTTCCTCAATTTGTCTGTCATAGTTGACGTGTACCTATGATGAAAATTACAGGCCTCTCTCATCTTTTTAAGTGGGAGAACTTGCACAATTGGTGGCTGACTAAATACTTTTTTTCCCCACTGTACCTCAATCCAGGGATGGGTGCTTAGACATAGAGAAGGGCCCCCTTTTTTATTTTTTATTATTCCATGGGCCAGAGAGATGTGCTGTATTATTACATTTAACATTTTAGTCATTTAGCAGACGCTCTTATCCAGAGCGACTTACACGAGCAATTAGGGTTAAGTGCCTTGCTCAAGGGCACATCGACAGATTTTTCACCTAGTCGGCTCGGGGATTAGAACCAGCGACCTTTCGGTTACTGGCACAACGCTCTTAACCACTAAACTACCTGCCGTATTATAGCTAATCTCATGCTATTTTATGCTCAGGGATTCTTGAAAGATGGGACAATGAACTTTTTTCCCACAAATATTTGTCTTTAATATTTAGGGCATTCACTCACTGCTTTAGAATGTAGTTAAATACCAGTAAATTCAAGAGGGTGCTACTAAATGAAGGTCTAAACCTAGTTTTCTTTAGCCTATGTCATTATGAATGACGTACAATTAGTCATTTAGATTGTTCTCTACAATATTACAACCTTTAATATGCTTGTACTTAACAGTGTTGATTAAATAAGAATGTTAGTTTGCTAGTTTCGACCAAGCAGCTCTTGGTTGTATCTCTTCCATATTTCGGCGTTGGGAGGTGGTAACATTAGGAGGCATTTCCGCGCTTTGGACCAACCAAAATCAACTTGATACATTAATCTCCTGATCCTCTAATCAAGGTCAATCAATGTTGAGAGGGACCATTTCTATGGCAGTTTAAAGGGGAAGACTCAGAAATTCACAATCAGAACAGGAACATATTTTTTTTCGGCGACGGTAGTCAGTCTGTTAGCTTTGTTATTCTGTGGATTTCATTTAGAAAAAGCCCATGTTATCACACACGAACCTGCAGCCACGAGCTAGCTTGTCAGTTGGTGTTTGAAATTGGTGCCATTTTGCCCACCAAGCAATGACAGAGTTCTATTGAGCAGTGACCACTTTTAGACCATGACATTCACTCTAATCATGCTAAATTCACTGAGGAAATAGTCTAACTTTTGAACTATATATGGTAGAGACATAGGGTTTTGACTTTTTGTTTTTCTGGTGCATTTCTCTATTGAAGGAACATTTTCATAAACATTGAATTAAATAATTTTAATGATGAACACCCTATAATATTAACAACATTTGAAATATTTTGATAGACCAAAGTATCAGCTAACACACCAGGTAAAGGAACAACCTAATTTAATTTTGTTAATTAAATGCAACTAACTGGATTTATTTAAACCCCTTCATACACCTTAAAAGGCATTTCATTCCAACAATTGTTTAAAGGCCTTGATTGTTTAACTCTAACAGTATATTATTGAAGTATGTAATACAAATCTACAAACTTATTTTTGTTTTGTTTTATAGCACTATTAAAAGCTCCAGGGCTAATTTCATTAGCATTTTGGCATGATTTTTTATTGTATTTAGAACATATAAAATGTTATAAAGCAAACATTATCCCTTAGGTCTAGCACAGCAAATACCTCAATTGTTTAAGCATACGTTGCAGAACAGTGTTTAAAAATATTTTTCCAGAGTACTGCTCAAACAATATTGTCTCCATCGGTGACGGAGTTGACAAGCCACTGAAGGAGTTGATCAAAACATACATTTTTGTCTCTAAAAATAAAAGTTAAATACAAACATTTGGAAATATGGAAAATGATTCATTTGAAAATACCCAATAAAGACAAGCATTCTGTCAGATCTTTCAGCACTTTGACTGCGTTGATGTTAGACAAAAATCTGACCAAGTTGTTTCACAGTTGTGAAATTAAATTTTTCTTCTTATTTCGAGAGGTATACATTTACATTTTACATTTTAGTCATTTAGCAGACGCTCTTATCCAGAGCGATTTACAGTTAGTGAGTGCATACATTTTTCATATACACAGAAGCAATTTATTATGAACATAAATATAAATGCAACATGCAATAATTTCGAAAATTTTACTGAGTTACAGTTCATATAAGGAAATCCCATTTCTGACACCAATGTAGCAAATTGGGCTTAGTGTCCCTGTCGAATTTGCTACCATATCAATATTGCCAATGGGAATATAGTCACACACCAGATACCGTTGAAGTCGGAAGTTTACAACTCATTTTTCAACCACTCCACAAATTTCTTGTTAACAAACTATAGTTTTGGCAAGTCAGTTAGGACTTGCATGGCACAAGTAATTTTTCCAACATTTGTTTACAGACAGATTATTTCACTTATAATTCACTGTATCACAATTCCAGTGGGTCAGAAGTTTACATACACTAAGTTGACTCTGCCTTTAAACAGCTTGGAAAATTCCAGAAAATGATTCATGGCTTTAGAAGCTTCTGATAGGCTAATTGACATAATTTGAGTCAATTGGAGGTGTACCTGTGGATGTATTTCAAGGCCTACCTTCAAACTCGGTGCCTCTTTGCTTGACATCATGGGAAAATCAAAAGAAATCAGCCAAGACTTCAGAAAATAAATTGTAGATCTCCACAAGTCTGGTTCATCCTTGGGAGCAATTTCCAAACGCCTGAAGGTACCACGTTCATCTGTACAAACAATATTACGCAAGTATAAACACCATGGGACCACGCAGCCGTCATACCGCTCAGGAAAGAGACGCGTTCTGTCTCCTAAAGATGAGTGCAAATCAATCAACAGCAAAGGACCTTGTGAAGATGCTGGAGGAAACAGGTACAAAAGTATCTATATCCACAGTCCTATATCGTCATAACCTGAAAGGCCGCTCAGCAAGGAAGAAGCCACTGCTCCAAAACTGCCATAAAAAAGCCAGACTACGGTTTGCAACTGCACATGGGGACAAAGATCATACTTTTTGGAGAAATGTCCTCTGGTCTGATGAAACAAAAATAGAACTGTTTGGCCATAATGACCATCGTTATGTTTGGAGGAAAAAGGGGAAGGCTTGCAAGCTGAAGAACACCATCCCAACCGTGATGCATGGGGGTGGCAGCATCATGCTGTGGGGGTGCTTTGCTGCAGAAGGGACTGGTGCACTTCACAAAATAGATGGCATCATGAGGAAGGAACATTATGTTGATATATTGAAGCAACATCTCAAGACATCAGTCAGGAAGTTAAAGCTTGGCGCAAATGGGTCTTCCAAATGGACAATGACCCCAAGCATACTTCTAAAGTTGTGGCAAAATGGCTTAAGGACAACAAAGTCAAGGTATTAGAGTGGCCATCACAAAGCCCTGACCTCAATCCTATAGAACATTTGTGGGCAGAACTGAAAAGGTGTGTGCGAGCAAGGAGGCCTACAAACCTGACTCAGTTACACCAGCTCTGTCAGGAGGAATGGGCCAAAATTCACCCAACTTATTCTGGGAAGCTTGTGGAAGGCTATCCGAAACGTTTGACCCAAGTTAAACAATTTAAAGGCAACTTCCGACTTCTGT